GATTTTGAATTTCACCTGGGATATAAAAGAAATATTTAACTTGTATGATATTTGTAAGATCGTTTATGTCCTTTCTACAAAATTATTGGTATTTTTGAATTCTTATTTCGAGACCGTTCAGAATTAACATACATGCGTTAGATTCGCAGAATTGGCCTTTCTTATTTTCGAGTCGTAAAAGGAAAATTGATATATAAAAAAGAGACTGAATGATTTTTTAATTTTTACTTCGAGAGCGTTCAGAATTAACATTCATGCGTTAGATTCGCAGAATTGGCTGTTCTTATTTTCGAGTCGTAAAAGGAAAATTGATATATAAAAAAGAGACTGAATGATTTTTTAATTTTTACTTCGAGAGCGTTCAGAATTAACATTCATGCGTTAGATTCGCAGAATTGGCTGTTCTTATTTTCGAGTTGTAAAAGGAAAATTGATATAAAAAAAGGGGCTGAATTAAGAGGATAATTATCGTGGAAAGGATCCCGACTTTCTCCGCGAAAACTGGGAAAAGATATCGAAAGGAGTTGAAAAGGGGTCAATTTGATTCGGCTCGAGGAAAGTCGGAAAACGGGAGCGAAGGAAACGCGCGAGATGGAATTGCTAGAATCGAATCAATTTGGGGAGATGTTTAATTCAGGAAGGGTGCAGGAAAGTAGAGAGAGGGTGTAAAGAGGGAAAGAGAAGGAAAAGAAAGGGTTCTCTGCGGTGCCAAAATTAATTCCCGGGAATCAATGCATAGTCTTTATACTTTCCCCATTTAACGTATTTTCCCTTAAAAATATTTCCCTACAAAGAATCTGGTTTCCTATGTTCTAATTATACTTAGACTATATTTCGGCGTTATAATTAACAGTTTTTACTTCCACGGGAAGCATAATTTCAAAGTAATATGTCACAATTTCTGCATACGAACAATGGTTTGAAAATTTGACTTCGTTTTCTTTTTTTTTTTGTATTAGAGGTTCACTGGATTAATTCTTGAAATAAAATTTTCCTTAGCAAGGAGACGGAGAATTCCGTAAAATAATTCATGTGTTCATATTTTAGCGGAACTGCACCGGATACAATCCTTTGATAAAAAATTTCAGAGAAATGGGTAAATGGTGTGCCCGACGTTTACCCTTCTTATCAGGCAGAGAAGGGGGGAAATATCAAGGGAAAGCGGAAAATAACATCGAGAAGATATTCGCTGACAAATTCGTAAGGACGAGACATCTAGAGGCCGGGTCAAGGATGAGCAGGATGTGACGTCACGGCCTAGGGAAATCGATAGGAACCCCACGCTATGGCGTCACCTGAAACGCGATCGACTCGACTTTTCGTACAAAAAAGGGCCAACTTTTTCCGCCGAGGAGGCCTCCTTAATTCCCTGCCAGCCGATTAATCGGCCTCGAGGCCGTAATTGACTTTCTTCGAGTTTCGATGATCAATAATTCATAGGAAAGTTAGGCCGCTGCCTCTCGGAAATCGATATACGTAAAGCCCACTTTATTGCCCACTTCTCGCGGTCCTCTCCTGCGAGTTAAAGAGAAGCGAGATAAAGAGCGGGAGGAAAAATTCCCTGGTCAATTTTCGCACCGACAACAAAATCTTCACGTAGCCTTTTTCATTACTTCCGCTTTGTAATTCAAGATTTAAAGAAAGATTTTACAGTTTCGCCAAAGTCAAGTTTTTATAAATCTGAAATGCTTAGAATATTCTGAGTCAGTTGTTATTAATCTGAGGTCCGGGAACTCGTTCATATATATGAGCCGCTCAGTGCACACATTGATTAACTCCATAAAACAAAAAGTTGAGAAATGCGATGAAGTAATGTAGATTCTTTTTTAAAATTCCTATTATAATATAACTTCAAATATATAATGTAGAATACATAAATACAGTTATAGTTTTCATCTGACGGTATATAAAATTAATAAGAAAGAATAGCCAAAAAATAATCGTCTGCATTTTATGTCGACAAATGTTTTTGTCAGGTATTCAATTTCCTCCCCTATTCCTGTATGCCAAACCTTTTGTTCCGTTATGCTTTTGTAAATTTCGTGCCCATTTATCAGGATTACAACTTCTTTTCCTCCCAATCGATGTGTTTGTTGGGGAATTTGTACCGTTGCAATAGGATAAATCCGAGAAACACGATAAACGTCTTCTTGCACCAGACTTTCTGCTGATAAATCGTATTGAAGAATCATCACTGCTTTCCACATCCACATTGTTATTATTTTCACTCATCTTGATTATAACGGTATAATATTTAGTTCTTTAAAAACAATCAGGGAGTAATGTTGAAAAGACCAAAAAATATGTAGTCCGTGTAATATTGGTGAAGTATACAGTAGCATTCAGCGTGAGAGATCACCGTTATACTAACTACCGGCTGCATTGCGCTTCTTTCTATCTGTTTGCTGATGCGATTTTATTACTCATATCGTTGAAAGGGGGAAAGCATCTTCGGCTGTTTAAAAAAAAAAAGCGTCGATGTACGGCCGCAACAGATAATCCAATAATACTATACTGCCAGGTATTCGTCTACGATTTACATTAGAGGATGGAGTTAATCAAAATGGCTTCTGAAATAAATTACTTATTATTCAATGCCCAAACAAATTTTGCCGTTTAATGGTGTTAATCTCTATTAATCAGGAAAGATATTATAAATATAAAAAGTTATGACTGTACCAAGTGCTTTGACACCTAAATTTAAGATTTTTCGAAAAGTGGAGTTAGTCGATGTGTGCACTGAGCGGCTCATATATATATATATTTTTTCATATTATACATGTTTGCATATTTTTTATGTTAGTTTTATGACCTTTGTCATTTTGGGGGTATCGCAAATTTTCCTTATAATGAAAAGTGTTCCGTGAGTTAAACAATTTTAAGAACCGCTCTACTAAGCGAACTGGAATGCTTTAATTATTTTTATAGATGTCCGGGAATTTTCTATCACATTTGACGTTCTCGAGCCAATTCAATGGGAGCCCCCTCTTCGTCCAGTTCGTGATAACTGATAGTGAGCCAATTCGGATTCGAGCCAAAAGTTATCTCCCGTTCGCTTTCTACTCGATGTCAACAACACTGATCCAATTTTTCACCCTTCCGCAACCTTGCGGATTTGATACGCATGCTTGAAAGACTTTTCCGACCGATTAACCGCACTTACGCGATTGATTTACGGTTAAACATTTTCAAAATAAGCATTTTCATGTACTAAGAATACCCGCAGAGAAATAATTCATAATCTTACTATATCATTTTACTTGCCTCAACAAATGTTAAACGTCTAAAAATGAGCCAGCAATTTTTTGCAGAAATGTTCTTGCTGTCTGGACCAGAAAGAAACTATTACTTCACTGAGGGAAACCAAATGAAATAGTTGCAATATTCTTAACTAACAACAACAAACTGTACATCGCTTATATGATCGAGGAGTGACAACAATATTTTTTGTCCGTTGTTATAAATTTATTTGTTATTTTATCAAGCATTTCTTGTAAAGGCAACTCTCCTATGGTTACATCTACGTTTGATACCATTTCAAACACTTTTTTTGTTAATGCAATTATTATTGCAGTAAGAGGAAAACTGATAGCAATACGCGCTGTCCTTTCCTAAGAATGCAGATGTCCTCTTTCCATGTATAATTGCTATACATTTCCACTAAATTAGAAATTTACCACGGAATAATCCACTAAATTAGAAATTTACCAAGGACTAAATTCTATTAAAGAAAAGATGCGTCGAAATTATTTTTGACTACAATTATATAATAGGGTACGGTTGGGTAAATTATCCCGGGTTTACAAAAATTCCAATAAAAAAGCTTTTAGCAAGGTATTTTATTAAACGAGTTCTTGTTTCATTTAATTGTGAAATACTGCACGCAATGTACGCACATATACCCCGCACATGAAAGTACTGAATTACTATTTAATGCAGTAGACATTCAAATAAAATATTCCTTACAACGGGACGATTTAAATGACTCGTCTGGTAAATTGTACCATGTGGGGAAATCATCCTCTTCTATTAGAATATGGTCGGATAATTTATACCACACATGAAAAACGAAATCAAAGCAAAACTATGAACATACAAGTCAATTCCGGAAAGAAAATCAAAATTTACTGTAAAAAATTTGGATCGTTTAACGGAACCGTCCGATTGACTCTAGAAACCGCCGATAGCAGATTTTAGGTTCTTGTTTATTTGCGGTTCATTTACTTTCGAATTTATTTATCAATTGCTAGCCACACATGAAAACGAAATCAAAACAAAACTATTAACATACAAGTCAATTCTGGAAAGAGAATCAAATTTTACTATACAAAATTTGGGTCGTTTAACGGAACTGTCTGATTGACTCTAGAAAACGCCGATAGCACATTTTAGGTTCTTGTTTATTTGTGGCTCATTTACTTTAGAATTTATTTATCAATTGCTAGCCACACACGAAAACGAAATCGAAGCAAAACTATGAACATACAAGTCAATTCCGGAAAAGAAAATCAAATTTTACTATAAAAAATTTGGATCGTTTAACGGAACCGTCTGATTGACTCTAGAAAAGACCGATAGCACATCTTAGGTTCTTGTTTGTTCGTGGCTCATGTACTTTAGAATTTATTTATCAGAAGTACTTCGTTTTTGATTCTAAGCCTCCAAGAGCGTAAAACATCGAAAACGTATCCGGTTCGATCCCATGATAAATAAATACATTTTTGATGAAAAAAGAACTTTCATGAGTTTCAAGACCTACTTTAGAGCTTCCATATGCACGTGGGAAAATTTGAAACGAATCGGTACCCCCAATTCGGAGGATGCTTTCCCCAACGATTTGACCTCTTAGATACATATAGGCTGACTCTTTCATATCACCTTAATGTATCTTCTTAAATATCACAGTGGTACAATTTGACCGACAGGACGATATCCTAGATTACCCTAATGTGTAACCATGTCGTTCTGTTCCTATTAATTCTTTTCCGATTCCTTTCCAGATGTTGAAGTCCTGTCGCACCCTGAGCATGACGGTACGAGGTCCGGCGCTGGACCCGCGATGCCGAGGAGGACATCCGGTGTGGTCGTCCTCGGGACGTCAGCAATCCTGCAGTTGGATGGACCGCCAGGGTCGGCCAGCATCCCCGCCTCCTCTGCATCCTAGGGATGCCCGATACGGACCCAGAACGCGCAAAGTCGAGCTCTGCATCGAGCCTGGCCAGTCCTTGGGCCTGATGATCCGTGGGGGCCTAGAATATGGTCTTGGGATCTATGTCACCGGGGTGGATAAGGACAGCGTCGCCGACCGAGCTGGTCTCCTGGTAAGCAGGAAAGGACCGGGAAGATTGGAAACCTAGGTCGAAATTGCCTTCGATTTTATTTCGATTATTCAATTAGGGGTGATGGGGATTGGTTCCATTTCGTCTTCCTTGGTGGGCGCTCGATAAGGGGTTACTCTCGGGAATTAGAAAGGATTTTTATTGCTTCCAGGATGAATCGGTTCGATTGGCTTCAACGCTAGGGCGAGGCGGTCGTTGAGGTTCCTTGTCAGTTCTAGATTGTTGTCTCGACTTGTTTCCTATTGAGACACGTTATGGATTCCCGAAATCTTAAGGTGGTATGAAAAGGTGATATATACTGTTATGCCTTGGGGTGATATTCTTGTTTCGAAAATTATAACAATTTCGTAGCACTCACTTTCTTTATTTAAGTCCTGAAGTACCTTTAGTTCGGAGGAACAAATGACGACTGACTGTCCTCGGGAGCCGACAGAGTCGTGTCACAGTGGAACAGAGATGTTCTTAGGAAGCGATATGATTCTGCTGACCAGGGAACTACCGCTGTGAAGCGCTGTCCAGCAGAGTTCCCAGGACCCGACAAATGGCAGAAGATCAAAAGAATATTATAATATTAGGGCATAACAATGCATACCAAAAAGTCAAAATATTTAGACAACTTTTCTCTAAATTGGGTGCACCAAATTATCTGAAACTTTTACAGGTGATTGTGGAGGCTCCAAGGAAGAACGCGCTGCCCGTGAAATTTCATTTTTCGACAATAAAATATCTTTTTTTGGTTCTCGTCCGAGATAAGTACAAAATTTATTTTCGAAAAAACAAATTTCATGCGCAGCGCATTATTCCTTAGGGCCTCCATAATCATGTAGTAACATTTGACGTGAATCGGTATACCCAATTCGGAAAATACTTTCCCCTATGATCTGACCTCTTAGAGATATATAGATCGACTCTTTCATATCGCCTTAACCCAATGTTTTGTTTAGTGGCCGTGATATTTGTTGTATTGCAGATCTGCGCTGACATTTTAGATTTTAGTAACACTCAATTACGAGAGCGAGGGCAAATCATTGTTGATGACTATTCATGAAGTCTATGTAGATAAAGAATTTGAGGAAAGGTTTTCGAAAAGTTGGATGCAACATTTGTTAAGCATAACGAGAAATTACATTTGGATAAACTGATAATCAAATTCTTGTGGAGTGGGTGTAGGGATCGAAGTGCTTTGAGCCGAAATGTAATTTCAGGTGGGCGATCAGATAATCGAAGTTAATGGGCAGAGCTTCGAGGAGGCTACTCACGATGAAGCGGTGCAGATCTTGAAGACCAACAAGAGGATGACTCTTTTGATCCGGGACGTTGGTAAAGTGCCCCATTCCTGTACCACCAGTCAGCCAATCGTTATGCCGACGTCACGGTATCAAGACCATCAAGAATCCATCTTGATGGACAGTCCTGGAAATCATCGGCCCCCGAGTCCGGCGTAAGGCCAATTTCTTTTTTTTACAAGCTTAAATAATTCTTACCGCACGTGACCGCACCATTTCCCCCTATCTCGCCTTACTTTAATTATTTATTTCTTATTATAAGGGAACAATAAATTTTCACCTGAAAGAATTTGCACGAATATGCATAAACGTAAAGGCAGTACAGCATATTTAGAATACCACGTTTATGTTTATTGTTCATGCATATGTTTAAAATTAATAAAAAAATCATGGCAAATGACGAGAACGAAGAAAACTTTGTGAAATCATAAGAAAAGCAATAGAATTTAATCTTTTAAACTATCGGTAACAATTAAAAACAAAAACTATCTTGAACTTTGGTTTGATTAAAAAACTATGTAAAGAAATTATTTTATTAACGTGTCGGTAATGTAAGGTACCCTGCAACCGATCAATTCAGTTCAGATCAGACCAGACTAGATCAGACCAGATCCGACTGAAACAAACGTGTTACCTCTTATAGACGTGGCTATACTTCGTACGTCGGATCAGATTATATACGAGAAAAATGTAGCTGCGTTTATAAATGTTATATGTTTGTTTTAGTCGGATCTGGTCTGATCTAGTCTGGTCTGATCTGAACTGAATTGATTGGCTGTAGTCTCGCCACAGTCTAAGGTTAGGTTGGATTAGGTTAGATTAGGTTAGGTTAGGTTAGGTTCCCTTAAGAAAAAAACTCCATTCGACCGCAATGTTACGTACACCTTTGTTCATTTCTAGCCAGAAAGGAACTTCAGGGTTTATCATAAATAATGAATAAATGAACACGTTGAAGGAGCTGTACGAACGAATGGAGGCACAGAGGCGTGCACACGGTGTCTTCGGCAACGGCGGCCATGGTGGAGGAGAAGGCAAGAGTCGTCCTCGCCAGGAGCGAAAGGGCGGCGCTTTCCCAGCTTTTGGCGGATTACAGGACTCGCAGGATCACCGTGGAGGAGCTCGTGGCGAGCCTTGCGGATCTATTGAACACACACGAGAAGCTCACCTTGCTCACCGAACTCCGAGAGCTCGTTGACAGCAAAGACCGGGCTGCCTTCGACGATTTGGTCTATCGGCCTCGCTCCTCCGTAACCAGGGTGGGTACAAATCGACATTTACACATTATTCGCACCGATCAGTTTCGACCTTTCCAAATCTCCATCCACAATTTCATTGCTAAATCCTTTTCACTCCCAATTACTGAGATGTCGATTACTTATGGCGAGTCACACTCGACGAAGGAGTGCAAAGAGTTAGATTTCTTACCACAAACGTTTAATTAGAGTGGTCCGAATGACAAGGAGTGTTTTTAAGATGATATGAAAGGCGCTGAGAAATTTAATCAACCTCGATAAATTGAAATTCATCGATACCCTTTTTGGGGGTAACATCATTTTCAATACCCAAGTGGTAACATAAGCTGGCGCGTTCCGTACCGACATTTATATTTATTTTAAAGTCTCTTACAGTTTACGTTGAGAATTGTACGAATTGAAGCGTTCCATGTACCATTTCGGTAAAGTAATGATGAAAAGATCGATGTATGACTGTCGAAATCCTGGAAATTCATTATTCTAACGACTGTTTTGGACCAAAGTCGCCATCTGTGACGTTTAGCTGCAACTAAATTTTTTCTCTAAAAACACGTATTAGCCCCGCGACAAGCCAATCTCTTGCAATCGTTGGTGAAAGTATTTTCCACATTTTTTCATCTGACTCTGTGATATTCCATTTCTACGGTATTCTAAATTGTTCGAGCTAGGTCCTCAAACTCTTCATTTTTTATTCTAAGCCTCCAAGAAGCGTAAAACGTCGAAAACGTGCCCAGGCTACCCCATGTTGGTTCTAGTTCATGATAAATAAATACATTTTTTATGAAAAATTAAATTGCATAAGCTTCGGGATCTACTTTAGGGTCTCCATATTCCCGTGGTAAAATTTGAAACGAATCGATACCTCCAATTTGGAAAATGCATTCCCCAACGATTTGACTTCTCAAATATACATACGTATGAGCTGACTCTTTCATACCACCTTAAATCAGCTGATTTGGCTTTATGTATGCTTTGCATTTCTTTCTCCACGTTGTCTTTGATAGAATGATGCCAAAGTAATCGCGTTTGATATTAAAAACTTTAAGCCGCAATTATTTCTGCACCAACCTAGTGTTAAAGGATAATATTAAACCATTAGAGTTAATGAGACTTGTGATGGTAATTTTGTTTTACACCGATCAAGATAGACGCGAAACATTATCTTGGATATTCCTTGCTGGTGGCGATTGATAAAACCATAGAAAGTCTCCAGATGCCGTGTTATTTAATTCTGTTGTCTACTGGAGCAATTTGAATTGCAGAAGCTACTTCCAAACCAGACCTACCTCACTTTTCGCATTTTCCGCATTTACTCCTGCACGTTTGATTAATTCTGTGATATGTTAATGCAGCATTAGTAGCTGAATTATAATAATAACTAGTAATGGCACTCAGCTACTTGAAATTAGATGGTAGGGTGTAGTTTTTATTTCGTTTCGTGTGTTCAGAGAAAAGGTGACAGAGCACACTCGGACCTCATAGTTACTCCGTCTCTGCACGACCTTCCGGTGAGTATCCTACAATTTTCGAATCCAGTACGTACTCGTACTTCACTTTGAGTACTGTCACACTATTCCGTATTTCACACACGTTTGTTGTCTTCTCTCCCTTTTTCTCGCTCTCTTTCTCTATATCCTGCGTGTACACGTTAGAACTGTGACTCTCTGATTTTGGAGCGTGTCTCTTTTGTGTCTGTTCCCATTGCACATCCGCAACGAGTTTTCCCAAAAATATTATCCATTCTTTGAAATTTCCAAACTCAGGATTTTTACTATTTACATTTTTTTTTCATTTTTTTTTTATTGCCGGGATTCCGGAATTAACGTGATATGGAAGGGTCATTCTATATATTAGGGGTGTCCGTAAGTAATCAATTATTTTGAAAGAGGTGTTTTACATGTCAAAAAAGTTGATTACTTTTAGGTACCTCTGATATATCAAAACGTGAAAATATTGATAAAACGTTTCTCCAAACTGGGTGCACCGAATCATTTGAAACTTCAGCACGTGATTATGGATGCTCTAAGGAAGAACGCAGTGCTCGCAAAATTTCATTTTTTCACAAAAAAAAATGTGATTTTGGTTCGGGTCTAGGGTAAATAGATAAAAATTCTTTTTTGAAATATGAAATTTCGCGAGCATCGCGTTCTTTCTTAGGGTCTTCATAATCACGTGCTGAAAATTGAAATTATTCGATGCACCCAGGATGGAGAAAAGTTTTATAAATCTTTTAACGTTCTATATATGCAGAGTGGCCCTTTATTTCACCTTAAGGTGATGTGAAAGTGGCGTCAAAGAGGTATCGTTTATGAAACTTTTTTTTCGAAATGGATGTGCTGAATTTTTTCAAATTTTACGACGTGAATGTGGAGGCTATAAGGAAGGTCCTGACACTCATGAAATTTCATTTTTTAAAACTAATTTTGAATACATCTATGAATAAATTTAAAGGAAACTGAACTTTCAATGACTTTCAGGACCTTACTTATACCCTCCATATTTATATTGTAAAGTTTGAATCGATTCGGTACACCCAATTTGGATAAATGTTTCGTAAACGAAACCTCTTTGATGTCAGTTTCACATCACCTTAAGGTGGTATGGATGTCTATATACGTACCATAAGTCAAAATATTTATCAAACTTGTCTCCAAACTGGGTACACCGAATTATTTGAGGTTAATTGATGAATTATTTTATCCCTAAAGAATAACGCGCTGCTCATGAAATTTCCATTTTCGAAAAAGAATACTTATTTCGAACAAGAACCAAAAAAGATAATTTTTTTTCGAAAAATTAAATTTCTCGAGCAGCGCGTTCTTCCTTAGAGCCTCCATAATCACGTGTTAAAAGTTTTAGATAATTTGGTGCACCCTATTTGGAGAGAATTTTTTAAAAATATTTTGACTATATATATATATACACATCACCCTTTCACATCACCTTAACTACTTGAAATATGAGAGAATCGAACTAGGTCGTTTTCGAGGTAGAACTTTGAAGTATTCCAGAATTCGGAATTCGGAAATTACGAGCTCCATAGTTCGGCGCTCTCAACAAAGGAATCCATTACCGCAGATATTGCATATCAAAGTAAATTCAAGTAAATATTTTAGGGATATTATTTTTGGGAAAAAAAAAAAAGAATGAATGTCGACCTCCAATTACGTGTACCTAGATAGATGGCTAAGCTCCCTCGTGTAGAAGGCCCCGTCCATTAAATAAAAGAAAACGATAAAGCAGAAAAGTGTAAATAGAATTTTGGAACGAAGGAGGAAGGGGGGAGGCTGATTTCGAAAAATGCGACAGAAGAGGCGAAAGGGAAATCTCGTTGTCGACTGGAGAGGTGCGAGGAGGACAAGAGGCAGCGGGGAGTGGGAAAGTAAAGAGAAAAGAATATCGAAATCGAGAATTATGAAAAAAAAAAAAAGAACGATCGAGGGGGTCAGAAAAGAAGGATCGGAGGAAACGAGTCCACCTTAAAGTGAGAAAATAACGATCGAAAGCCTGTAATTTATCCCTGGAAGCATGCACGCCGTCTAGACCGAGGATCGCAGAAACCACTATCGATGATCGATCATCGATCGCGATCCGGAGATGATCCGACAACCTTCTCGCCATGTTTGCATATTCTGTGTCTCTTATAACATTGCATCGTATGAACGTCTCCATAGTTGTCTTCCGATCCCCGTATGCGAGATACTTTCGATCCTCTGTCTTCCGTCTCTTTTTCTGCTGATGTTGCTGCTTCGTGTCTGGAAAAGAATTGTTTAAACATTTTCTGCGATATTATCTCTGGTCCTTGAGATTCTCCGGAGCATGCCTCGTCGAAGGAGAGATGGGGAGAATACTTTCTCCCTGTCTCTCGAGTCCCCTCGTCGTTAGTTCGACCCTTTTAATTCCCGTTTATTATTTATTTTCTCTCCTTTTCTGTTTTCTCTTTGTCATATCTTTAACGCAGCGTAGTCGCTGGAATTACGTTCGCTTGAGGTGCTCGCTTTTCTTTACGCTCAGTGATCTCCCTTACTTCCGGCTCGAAATTTACAGTTTAGTAGTTAGCACGGAGAAAGCTGATTCTTTGTTATGAAATAATGGGAAATACGTTTTGGCCGAGCTTGCCCAAGCTTTGGTAAACATTCCGTTTTCGTTACGATATATCGAGATGAATTTTTCTTAAGCTGTATGGTTTAAATTATTAAAAAAATGAAATCACTCCGCGAATTTCAAGATTGTTTAAAAATATGCTGTCTAATGGGACGTCGATAGATCCAATCATTTTTCTAAATACGTAGAAATTGTTTCGTTTAATACTTAAAGATTTAATATATATCTTTTAGATACCAGAACACTTTTGTTGAGTAAAAAGTAGAAGATTATGTGTTTTTATCCCGTTACAAATTATTATTTTTTAATCGTTATGACATTCAGGTGTACGCAAATTGCTGCTGCCGATGGACCGTATGAATATTCTACTATATGTTTAATTACTTTTAAACGGCGTTTTTGGATTTTCATGCTACTAGATGTTAAAGGCGTGATTTCACAGTTTAGATGTATAATTCTGACATTTGAAGCGTCTGTATTCTATTTTTTTTATTCATTTTAGTCCAAATTTCTTCATCTGTCTAATTCTCTTTCATAGCATTGAATAGTCGAGATGATTAAGAAATAACATTTTGCCAACAAACTTATCCTGTGATTTTTAATGTAAAATTCTGATGCGACAAATTATTATCGTTTGAAAATATCCAGCAAGAGAAGGATCAAGTAACGAGTTTAATTAACGGAAATCATTACGAAAGTCAAATGGTAACCCTGGGTGGAAACCTTAACATTTACACAGTAATGGAACTATACTCCACAAACTATAAGACAATTGTATGGACTCGAAGAATTACACGAAGATACATCATTGACACTTTACGCGCCAGATAATTACAAAACAAGAAAGGCCATCAAGACAGCAGTGTGATTAAACAGAAACAACTATCCACTATTACTCACCGCAATTTTCTTTTAAATGACATTTACTCTAAGAAAGAAAAATGTTCTACATTTCGCCCAATTCCAAACATTAACATCTACACAGTAATGGAAGTACACTCCACAAACTAGAAGACAATTGTATGGACTCGAAGAATTACACGAAGGTACATCATTGACACTTTACCCGCCAGATAATTACAAAACAAGAAAGGCCATCAAAACAGCAGTCTGATTAAACAGAAACAACTATTCACCATTACCCACCGTAATTTTCTCTTAAATGGCATATACTCTAAAAAAGAAAAATTTTGTACATTTCGCCCAGTTCCAAACATTAACATCTACACAGTAATGGAGCTACACTCCACAAACTACAAGACAATTGTATGGATTTGAAGAATTACACGAAGATGTATCATTGACACTACCCGCCAGATCTATTACAAAACAAGAAAGGCCATCAAGACAGAGGTGTGATTAAACAGAAACAACTATCCACTATTACCCACCGCAATTTTCTTTTAAACGACATTTACTCTAACAAAGGAAAATTTTGTACGTTTCGCCCAGTTCCATCTGCTAAAAATAGATCTTTAAAGAAGAAGAGTCCGGTAAGAGATATTTCCTCGGGGGAAATAATATCGAGAATATGAAGAGGGTCCGAAAATAACAAATGCCGGGAATTCCCGGGCCCGTCAAAGTTCGGGCAAGCTCGCCAAGTTCCGAGAGAGAAAGCTCGAAATAAGTAAATGAGAATTACCGGGGGTGAAAAAGAAAATGCAAAAACGGAAGGGCGCGTAGGAGCAGGGTGCTGGCTGACCGGAAATGAACTGCTTTCCCTCAGAGAGTCGCTCCCAGTGGCGGCTGTTGCCGACCAGGAAGACTGCTGGACGTCGAGGGAGATCCCCTGGGAGTCACGGGACCGCTCCTGCCACGGGATAACCACGAATATAGATCGCCCAGCGAGGACAGCGGCCTCGGGCAGGACATGCCCAGGACGAGGTCTCCTTCCCAAATTCAAAGACAAACTCTCTTTCTCTCCCTGCCTCTCTTCTTTCTCGTTCCGCCTTGCGAGGAACCTCCCGGGGATTTCGAGCGAGAGACTTTGCGACGATTTTGTAGAACTCGCTGCATACGGTTCCTTCATTTATTTTGCATTAGATTCGTGTCGTTTACATTTTATTCCCTCGCGTGTCGTCGTTAATCTTGTAGGAACGGAGACTGGAGGTCTTTACATATGGCTCAAGGATCACGTACACTAAGGTGATGTGAAAAACGTCGAAGAACTTGATCAACGTCGGTAAAAAAGGTTTTGCTAAGTACTTACGTTGCCGACGTTCGTTTTTATATTGACGGCTGTGTCAAATTATATTGGGTATTGTACTAACTGGCATGCTCCATCGGCCGTTTCGTACAGTAATTATAAAGAAATCGAAGTAAAACTCCAGAAATCCTCTGGATTCGCGCTTTCTGGGGCCCTAATTGTCTGCAGAGGGACACCCTGCGCCATCTGTGATTTCCATGTCAACTAAATTTTCACCCTGAGACGCGTCGTATTACCATCGTTTTAGCATAGCAGAGCAGAAGACACTTTTTTGCCTTTATCCCGGTCAAATACGAGTTTATCGATTATCAGAGTGTTCCAAATTGTCGTCCAATTATCCTGACACTTCCGTTTATTACATTAGAGCCTCCAATAATTGTATGTCGATCGAAATATGAGAGCTCGACGCCATTTTTGTTATGGTCTGGGTTAAGTTAAGAAATTTTCTTCCAAAATCCAGATTTTGAAGTGTCAGGACAATTCTTAGATCATTACGAGTCACGTGCCAAAGTTTCGGACAGTTCGATCCAATACCCTTAAAAATAAGTGTTTTATTCGAATCGACTGATTTGAGGGGTGTTTCACTTCACCTGAAATCGTAATGGTGAAGGAGCCTACATATTGCGATGACGACTTGATTTGGACTCTCTGAGGCCTTCCTTCGTATCAAATTTAGAGAGGACCGATCGAGGGCGGCCAGGTGGGGAATCAAATCATTGCGGGGACGGATATCATAGTCTAAGCACCAAAAGATTTCAATTTCGAGAGATTCTCTGGGAAGATTTCCAAGTGACTGACAATTTCGCCAAGACGAAGGAGAATATGTATATATTTTCTTTAAATTTTAATAATTGGGGAGGACCGATCGAGGACGGCCAGGTGGGGAATCAAATCATTGCGGGGACGGATATCATAGTCTAAGCACCAACAGATTTCATTTTTGAGAGATTCTCTAGGAACATTTCCAAGTAACTGACAATTTCGCCAGGACGAAGGAGAATATGTATATATTTTCTTTAATATTTAATAATTGAAGAGGACCGATAAAGGGCGGCCAGGTGGGGAATCATATCATTGCGAGGCCGAATATCAGAGCCTAGGCACCAAAAGATTTCATTTTCGAGAGATTCTCTAGGAACATTTCCAAGTAACTGACAATTTCGCCAGGACGAAGGAGAATATGTATATATTTTCTTTAAATTGTAATAATTGGAGGGGAACGATCGAGGGCGGCCAGGTGGGGAATCAAATCATTGCGGGGACGAATATCAGAGCCTAGGCACCAAAAGATTTCATTTTTGAGAGATTCTTTAGGAAGATTTCCAAGTAACTGACAATTTCGCCAGGACGAAGGAGAATATGTATATATTTTCTTTAAATTTTAATAATTGGAGAGGACCGATCGAGGGCGGCCAGGTGAGGAATCAAATCATTGCGGGGACGAATATCATAGTCTAGGCATCAAAAGATTTCATTTTCGAGAGATTCTCTAGGAAGATTTCCAAGTAACTGACAATTTCGCCAGCACGAAGGAGAGTATGTATATATTTTCTTTAAATGTTAATAATCCTTTGTTTCATCCGTGTGTAGACGTTTTCGAAGTTTCCTTCCCCTCCGTGTTTTCTGCTTCCTTCAACGTCTTTTATCCCCTTTAAGAGGATATGAAAGTCAAGGAGAAATTTAATCGACCTCGATAAATTGAAATTCATCTGTACCCTTTTTGGTGGTAATGCCGTTTTAAATACTCATGTGATTACATAAGCTGGTGCATCCCGTTACCGACATTTATATTTATGTTGAAGTCTTTTACAGTCCACGTTGAGAATTATACGAACTGAAGTCATGTGTCATTTCGGTAAAGTAATGATAAAGATATGGACGTAAAACTGTTGAATTCCCATGAATTCATTATTCTAACGACTGTTTAGGACCAACGTCGCCATCTATGACGTTTAGCTGAAACTAAATTTTTGCTCTAAAAACACGTATTAGCCCTGGGACAAGCCAATCTCTTGCAATCGTTGGTGAAAGTACTTACCATATTTTCCCATCTGATTCTATAATATTCCATTTCTACGGTATTCTAAATTGTTCAAGCTGGATCCTGAAAGTTTTCATTTTCGATTCTAAGCCTTTAAGAAGCGTAAAACATCGAAAACGTACCCGAGCCGCGCCATTTTGGTTCGTTCATGATAAATAAATAAATTTTTGGTGAAAAATGAACTTTCATGAGTTTCAGGACCTACTTTAGGGCTTCCATATTCACGTGATGAAATCCGAAACGAATCGGTACCCCCAATTCGGAGAATACTTTCCCCAACGATTATATAATATATATATATATATATATGTTATTTTATATTATATTATATAGTATATAATCGTGTAATCGTAAAATAAACGATTTGACCTCTCAGATATATATCTGAGAGATCATGCAATTCGTTTCAGATTTCACCACGTGAATATGGAAGCCCTAAAGTAGATCTTGAAACTCATGAAAGATCATTTTTCATCGAAAAAATATTTCTTTATCATGAGCTCGAACCAAAATGGCGCGGCCCAGGTATGTTTTCGATGTTTTACGCTTCTTAGAGGCTTAGAATCGAAAAAAAAAAATATATATATTTTTTGTTGTTGACTCTTGATGTTGACTCTTGTTGTTGATTTTGTGGTTGACTCTTTCATATCGCCTTCAGTCTGAAAAATATACATATATGTCGTGTTTATTCGGTGGTTTAAACTCTTCGTCCTTTTCAATTAGATAACTGTGTACATCACTCCGAATATCGTTCCCTTTGTAGGCATTTTTTATATTCTTTTGCGATAAAGTTTTGATGTTTCGAAAATTCCCTGACGTCTTTGTAGCTCGGATCGGAGCTTTTGAGTGGCAGGTGAAAAAAGCTCCGGAACTTTTCCACCACTTTTGAAATCTCAATGTGACGCGTCCCGCCCACGTGGGTAAAAAGCACCCCCGGGTTCGGTTGGATCCGCCCGAACGGAAATAGCCTGCATGTATTTGCATTGTGTATACATGCACTGTACACTTGTACCGTACAGAGGCGGCTGACTTAACGCGACATGATCGAGTTACGTGCGCATGGCCGTGCGGTAACGCGACCCCACGTTTGCCATTAATTTTCGCGAATTTGCGACACGTACATACCACTCGGGCCTCCCATAATAATGCATTACCCCTACTAGCACAAAATATTTATCCTATATTTTCTATATATTTAAAGAATATCGTACATTTTGTAAATATTTAGCAGACCTTTGAAATAGTTGCAAAACTTTTACTTTAGAATATTATCTCTATAATATTTATATAATATTACCTCCATGTGTTTTCATAATATTTTTCTACCAGATATACAAAATATTTCGTTTCATTTTAATACAGGTATGTTTTTAAATATTATCTGCCGAATACATTATAAACGTTTCAAAAATATTTAAAATCAAAATCGCACGTTTTGTTCCCATAATGAGATAGCGGAAGGAAAATATTAGAATAATCTCTCGTGTTTTTTTATACAAATGTAGTATCCGACAATAGTCGTGAAGTAAAGAATGTATTCTTATTATGCTAGTATGTTAAAAAATATAATATCGGTAACATGTTACATGTTAATATCATATAATTGCAATGCTTACAATTTTGTAACGATGTTACCGAACGGTAATAATTCAACGTCGTATGATATTAATGTATCTTTTTAACAACATTTGTTATATATCATGTCATTCCAGTGTTATGTCACTGTAAAATAGCTTGTTCGGTGGGAATAACAACATGCCCCGGTCCCCCGAAACAAATTAAACCTCCATCTGTAATGTTCGCGAAAAATGACAGTAAGCCCAACGGTTTGCAAAAATATGAAAATTCCACTTACTACTTTCACCAAAAGTGACAGTACTCAATTCGTTATATATCATGCTATTTCGGTGTTATGTCACTGTAATATATAGGGTGTTTGGTGGGAATGACATGCTCCGGTCCCCGGAAACAAATTAAACCTCCATCTGTAATGTTCGCAGAAAATGACAGTACGCCCAACGGTTTGCAAAAATATGAAAATTCCACTTACTGCTTCCACCAAAAGTGACAGTACTCAATTCGTTATATATTATGTTATGCCAGTTTCTCTGTAATATAGGGTGTTTAGTGGGAATGACAACATTCCCCGGTCCACCGAACACGTCAAACCTCCATCTGTATGTTAGCGAAAAATGACAGTACCCCCAACAGTTTGCAAAAATGTGAAAATTTCACTTGCCATTTTCACCAAAAGTGACAGTACTCAATTCGTTATATATTATGTTATGCCAGTTTCTCTGTAATATAGGGTGTTTGGTGGGAATGACAACATTCCCCGGTCCACCGAAACACGTCAAACCTCCATCTGTATGTTCGCGAAAAATGACAGTACCCCCAACAGTTTGCAAAAATGTGAAAATTCCACTTGCCATTTTCACCAAAAGTGATAGTACTCCATTCATTATATATCATGTTATGCCAGTGTCTCTGTAATATAGGGTGTTTGGTGGGAATGACATGCCCCAGTCACCCGAAACACGTCAAATCTCCATCTGTAAAGTTCGCAAAAAATGACAATACCCCCAACGGTTTGCAAAAATGTGAAAATTCCACTTGCCTCTTTCACCAAAAGTGACAGTTCTCCATTCGTCATATATCATGTTATTCCAATGTTATGTCACTGTAATATAGGGTGTTTGGTGAGAATGACATGTCCCAGTCCCTCGAAACACGTCAAACCTCCATCTGTAATGTTCGCGAAAAATGACAATACCCCCAATGGTTTGCAAAAATGTGAAAATTCCACATGCCTCTTTCACCAAAAGTGACAGTTCTCCATTCGTCATATATCATGTTATTCCAGTGTTATGTCACTGTAAAATAGGGTGTTTGGTGAGAATGACTAGTCCCAGTCCCTCGAAACACGTCAAACCTCCATCTCTAATGTTCGCGAAAAATGACAGTACCCCCGACTTGCAAACGTGTGAAAATTCCACTTGTCATCTTTACCAAAAGTGACAGTACTCCATTCCTTATATATCATGTTATTTCAGTGTTATGTCACTGTAATATAGGGTGTTTGGTGGGAATGACATGCCCCGGGCCCCCGAAACACATTAAACCTCCATCTGTAATGTTCGCGAAAAATGACAATACCCCCAAAGGTTTGCAAAACTATGAAAATTCCGCCTGCTACTTTCACCGGAAGTGACAGTGCTTCTCGTTCCATGCAGGGATTTGGAGGTGTCAACTCGAGTCCCAGGCCGATCAGGAAAAATCGAATGGCAGTCCCATTTCCAGGAGATCCGCGAATGCACTCTCGCTGCACAGTACCCGACAATCTTCTGTATGTACCTGCCGTACCTACGAGCTGCACGTGCACATACATACATGCACATCGCCAGTGCGTGGCGTGCATGTAGAGTCGACTAACTTTCCGCGACACGATCGAGTTACCCGCGTATGTACATACGTAGAGTAACGCGATGCCACATTGGCTGTCCATTTTCGCGAATTCAGGCCAGAGCTTTCGATCGATCCGGTCGGTCTAGGGAACTTTTGGCGAGAATGAGGGGGACCGTGTGTTGCCCGATTTCCGTGGACAAACGTGTGTGCTCGAAAGTGCGATGCACGAGGGATTCGGTGCACGTAAGTTGCACCGTCTCTTGGCCGTGGCATTACTTCGTCCTCGAACTGGAATTGCCTTTCATTCGGCGTATTTCTCCTCGTTGGGATTTTATCGGATGTCGGAGAAGAGGTAGTAAATGAGATAGGACCGAAAAGATGTCCAGACCGGACTTCCTTTTCCTAATACTTTCCTATAGTTTTATTTTATTAATTTTTCTTTAGGTCGAATGTCGAAAGTCCGCCCCCGACGCGACCTAGGTCAAGGGCTGTTCGGCATAAAACTGTTGGGCGCAAGTTAATTTTAATAAAATTAACATAACTTTCTCTATTTTATTCCGTAGTCTTTTCACACAAAAGGTCATTAATTAGGGTTCAAATGAGATGACCCGAAAGGAAGGAGATTTTGAATTTTCAAGTACATTAAATGAAATAATTGAGCAAATGTACAAGTACATACGAAATGAAACGTGTTTCAGAAGGCCCCTTGAAAACCTACTTTCTTTGTTTATCGGTAACTAAAATAGCCAAATATATATATATATTCTTAATAACATTTGTCATGTATCATGTTAATGAAGTGTTATGTAACTGTAACATAACGTGCTTGGTGGGTAAGTGTTTTGGCTTCTGTCATTGGGATCTGTAAGATAATGTTCCGATTACCTATAACAGCGCTAGGGAGTGCATAAATGATTTTTGTTCATTAAAAAGTTAGGGGGACAATGGGATCGCTCGAAGTGGCCAAAATGAGAGGTATTTGGCACGTGTAGGGCAATTATGCAGTTTCTGGCGGGTAAATCATGGAAATCCGTACACAACGAGTGTAAATGAATTCCGAACATGTCCTCGTTGGTTTCTCGTCCCTCGAGTAGTCTTCGTCCCGAGATATTCTCTTGAAACTGTCCTCGACTTAAAAAATGTAAATGAATTCCATATTTATCTTCCGGTTGAAGCTTTGCGTTCTAGAGAACCCTTCCGTAAACTTCTCGACGTGGAGGGAATTACGATTTCCTCCCTTTTATTATTCGTTTGGCGAGTAGTTAAGGAAATTGGAAATTGAAGGCACGAACAATTGATATACAAGTAACGAGCATTGGCAGTATTTTGGAAAACATCCCTAATATCAGATGAGATCCACGTTAAGGTGAAGTGAAACACCCTACAAATCAGTTGATACGAATACAACACTTTTTTTTAAGGGCATTAGACCAAACTGTCCGAAACTTTGACACATGACTCCTGATCATCTAAGAATTGTCCTGACACATTTAAAATTTGGATCTTTCAAAAAAATTGTTTAACTCAGTCCAGACCAGAACCAAAATGGCGTCGAGCTCTCATATTTCGATCAATACACAATTATCGAAGGCTCTGATATGAGAATCGAAAGGGTCAGGACAATTTTACGACAATTTAGAACACTCTGGTAATCGATAAACTCGCATTTGTACGGGATAAAGGCAAAAAAAGTGTTGTATGCGCTTCTATGCCAAAAGGATGGGAATACGAGGTTTCGGAGTGAAAATTTAATTGACCTGGAAATCACAGATGGCGCCGGGGGTCCCTCTCTGTAGTCAATTAGGGCCCCAGAAAACATGAATTCAGAGGATTTCTGGAGTTTTACTTCGATTTCTTTATAATTATCGTACGAAAACGACAGGTGGAGTATGCCATTTGGTACAATACCCAATACAATTCGACACAGCTGTCAATATAAAAACGAACTTCGGCAACGTAGGCATTTAGAAAAATCTTCTTTATCAACGTCGATCAAGTTCCTCGACGTGTTTCATTTCACGTTAACCTTGTGAAAGCTTATACATTGACTCGGTAATTAAGGAGCAACCGAAAAATCCTTATTAAAAAAAAAAGAATTAATAATTAGTTGATCATAATAGGAAAACAATTAGCATAATTAAAATGAATAAACGACGAGGAAAAAGAAAAATCAATCGCGACATCTCTCGTCCTCTCGAAATCGCATCGGAGGCCCTTTAGGGTGTAGAACGGGAAAGGGAGGGTGCCCTTGAAAGATGCCTCAAGTTCAAGGTCACGGCGATGGATGTTCCAGAGTGGGCTGCAGGAGAGCTCATCAGCATCAGGTCGCAACCTCTGACCTCGCCCTCTCCAACGATGACGAGTGTGACAATCAGGTACAATATAGAGCACTTGCGTGTGGGAGAGTGAGAGAGAGTGGCTGATCCGTGATGAACGGGAGGGAGATAGAGGAAGAGAGGACAGGAACCAATCTGTAGGCGCTCGTAAGATGAAGTGGGAACGAAACCCGGTATATCTCGTCCCGATTTTTTTTTTCTTCGATTCTTTTGACACGTCCATTTCTCATTATTTTCCTTCATTTTCTTATTTCATTTTCTCCATTTCTTTGTAACGAAACAGTGAAAGCCTTTTCTTTCCAGGACTACGAAGACGAGGCGGAAAACGATCGAGGTCGACGGCACAGTTCACCAGGGGGTTCCCGGGGGAACGCCAGGGACTACGGTCATCATCATCTTCATCCCGACAATTTGGTGAGTCGACTTTTGCTCCGGTTATTCCGTTTCTTCTGTACTATATTTAAAGAAAGTCTAGGTAGACGCGTAGGTAAAAAAATTATTCTAATTAGCTCGATGATTCCTCGAATATTACGATCACGAAAAAAAATGTTGAGGTCGACCTACTTTGGATTTAATCTAATTTATTCATCTCGAGCAATTACTTAACGGAGGAATTGTAATTCTGTCTGTTGTTTATCTTATTTCCTTTAAATGTGCATAAAAAAAGAATTATCACCTATTGAAACGGTCTTAGATGAAATTCATTAATAAGACGATGGATGTAAATTACAAGAATGTTTACTTTAAATACATATATCGGCAAATCGTATTCGTAGTTTTCGAGGTGTGAGTAATTCGTGTTGCATTCGTAGAAAGAGGATCTATCAGAAGCTTATCAGGTTATTATATGGAGGTATTCTGTGTTACTGTTACATAGAAAAATATATAGTCTCGTTTCTCGAAATCTAGAACAGAAATTTAGCTCGCCATTTCAGAAACGTTTGATCGAAGGGATATAAATATTGTAATACCTCGTTCTATATCAAGATATGCATTTAAATGGCGAAATCTACTGCAACCAATTCCTATTTAACTCGGTGAAATTTTTGGAAGGTGAGGGAGGCAATTTGTAAAATTGAAGGAGAAAAAAAATCCTTAATTTCGACTAAGCGGCTCTGAAATGAAAAAGACGTTTAGATCAGCCATTTCAACTATTTACAACTCCGTAGACACGAGCGTTACCTTTTCTATCTGCAATAGAAATATACTTCTTCGAGTCGCTAAATGTAGCCGCGTCGTTCGATAGAATAGAGCCGGCGAATGTCTCTCCTTTTTCCTCTGACAAAAACGCTAGTCGCGCAATAAATAGTTCTCGGCAGTCTATAGACTTAGTCTGAAATAGATGTCAGAAATGGAAAATTGCAGGTAAAGCAACATCGACTAGTCTTAGAGTGTCGGCCACTTCCAAATCTCTCTTTTCATTCCATCGACTATTTATTAAAATTCACAAAATCCCTCCCGAGGAGATTTGTGCCCATAATTATGAAAGTGGTCTAAGTCAAAATTGAAAAAAAAAATGAGTTTATCAGTTATTTCACGCCACATTATTTCAAACGAAATTAATTCAATGTAATTTCGAAACAAAAAATATATGACTTAGACCACTTTCATAATTATGGGCGCATTTAAACTATTCTATTTATTTTGAAACAATTCTCTGGCTCGGGACGATGCATCAGCGTTTAAATAAAATAATCGGTTTACTTGAAACTATAAATCTAGCCGCGGTTAGGGAGCTAATCCGAATGTGATGGAGGGTGCTCGATAAAAATTGTCAGAGGTGGAATTGCTCGAATGAAAATTCTCGCGATTCCCTTTTTCATCCTATTAGCTCCCTTTTTCTCTATGTCCGTCCCGTTCCGCTCCACTTGTCCGTTTGTCCATACGTGTTCTTCGTGAGCGACAACCACCAAGGGAGTCTCCAATCCGGATATCCGGCGTAATCGTATCGAATTCCGATTGGATGCTAGGGACGTTTCCGTCTCGTGGCCTTCCGATGATGCACTAGGTTCCGAGAGGCTTGGACAGATTGTCGGATTTTTCGTCCACTAGTTTAACCAAGTTAGGACCCAAAAGAAAACCCTCCCCTCGAACGCACTTTATTCCAAAAATACCATGGTCTTTACGGTGTTTTTCGTCGGTTATTACACGTTACCGAATTTATTCTGTCCCCCTTTTTCTTTTTAAAGGACTATTAAGGTGAAGTGAAACACGTCGAAGAACTTGATCGACGTCGATAAAGAAGATTATTCTAAATACCTACGTTCCCGGCATTTGTCTTTATATTGAGAGCTGGGTCGAATTATATTGGGCATTGTACTAAATGACATACTCCATCTGTCGTTTTCGTATATTAATTATAATGAAATCGAAGTAAAACTCCAGAAATCCTCTGGATTCACTTCACCTTAAGGGCACTCACCACTCCTGCGATTTGGCAGGGCCTCACGGGGACAACGATTTTGAGCGTATTTCTGAACCGATCGAGTCCAACGAATACTCGTTTTAAAGATAAAATGCTGACAGGTGTTTATATGGGAGGGATTTTCGATAAGTGGTCATTTTCAAATAAAAAAATGCAACGACATAATTTCAATGCTTATTTAACTAGAAAGGGGGTGCTTACTCGAAAATCGCTCCCATGTAAACCCCCGTCAACGTTTTATCTTTAACCCTTTGCGGACGACTATTCCATTATAAAGGCTTTTGGGCGACTATTTGGCGACATTCGTCCGCAAAGGGTTAAAACGAACACTCGTTGGGTTCGATCGATTGAGAAATACGCTCAAGATCGTTGTCCCCGTGGAGCAGTATTTTCACGATTTTTGTGTCTCTTGCTCGGAATTTGGGCATTCCTTGACAACCGTTGCCGAATCTTAGGTGGAGTGTGCAACTGACGTGTGTGGGTGTCGGGTGTCACCCACGCTTCGACGCCACGTCGGAGACGACTAGTCGTTCTGTGCGTCCTATACGTACACTGGGAGACATCAATGCCCTCCCATCCTGCACAGGCGATGTCGTACCTGCAGGGCAGGCATTCATGTCCACAATGTACACTGGGAGACATCAATGCCCTCCCATCCTGCACAGGCGATGCCGTATCTGTAGGGGAGGCATTCATGTCCGCCACTGTACAAAGTACGCACTTATTTTTCGACCATCGCCAAACACCGCCCATTACGCGTCGCGTTTCCATCATCCGAGCGAAAAGTATGTTTTAGTTACCTCCCACCGAATTAAATACTAACCCCATCTACGGTGGGGGTGGTCGTCCCCACTTTGGTGGTGAACGCCGTTAATCCTTTGCGATCGACAAATTTCTGTGATGGGAGTACCAGATAGTCGGAGGAAGTTTAGTTTTTCGGAATCATTTTTTCATAAGTGATTGAACAAGATCATGCCGCCACTGTGGCGGCACCGATCGAAAAGGGTTAATGCATATAAGGTAACTTTGAGTAATAAGGCTCACCGTAATTTGAAAGGCCTGTCAAAACTAAAATATAATGTATTTTGGAAAGGGGAAATGAGCAGAAGGGACACGAACAATGTTTATTTCAGGTATAAACTATTAAAAGGAAAGATAATTCTAAACATATACGTAATTAAAAAATTGCGGGATGGAGGTCCTGGGCATTGTTCCCAGAACGTGGAGGTAATAAGGCTCACGGACATCGATAGGAGGATGCATATTAATTTGCACAGTTAGGGGAAGTTACGTCATTAAGATCCTCGAATGCTGTCTTCGGGCATTCTTCGTAAAGTCATTTCTTGCCCACGTCATTTCTTGGGCACGTTGCCGCATATGGGCAACCATATTTTCTTGATAAAGACTGCGGTATCAGTTCTCGGTCTTCTTTGAGGTGCCAGGCTTCGTTTTTTAAAGGTATTTCGCTGAAATTTGGTTGCGACATTGTATTTGCCACAACTAATCATAGTTTCATTTTTTGATAAAGACTGCGGTATCAGTTCTCGGTCTTCTTTGAGGTGCCAGGCTTCGTTTTTTAAAGATATTTCGCTCAAATTTGGTTGCGACATTGTATTTGCCACAACTAATCATAGTTTCATTTTTTGATAAAGGCTGCGGTATCAAATCTCGGTCTTCTTTGAGGTGCCAGGCTTCGTTTTTTAAAGGTATTTCGCTCAAATTTGGTTACGACGTTGTATTTGCTACAACTAATCATCCCTAGTAGCACAAAATATTAGTCCTATATTTTCTATATATTTAACGAATATCGTACATTTTGTAAATATTTAGNCATAGTTTCATTTTTTGATAAAGACTGCGGTATCAGTTCTCGGTCTTCTTTGAGGTGCCAGGCTTCGTTTTTTAAAGGTATTTCGCTCAAATTTGGTAGTGCAAAAAATAAGTTCTAGTAATTCGTACAGTGTTTGTTGTTATATTAAAATATTTCTTAACCGAATGTTTACATAATGGCGTACCGTCACGCGTTACATCTTAATTTGTAAAATTAACAATATCTGTTTTCCTTATCGCTGTCGGTTAAGCGCAAAAATCTACATCGCAGAATTCGATTTCCAAAAAGAAAGACATTCATACCTTTGTTAAAAGGAAATTATCGGGGCGTGTAAAAATTTAGCTCTAGGATCGATGACAGCTTCGCAGGAGTTGAATTTAATCATGAATTGTTAATTAACTTTAAAATTTAAACTTAACGCATCTAATTATTACGACGGTACGTTATATTCTATATATATATATTAAAAATGTAAAGACATCGAGACGTACAAGTATCGCACTTTGTAAATCGCACCGGTTCTATATACAAAGAGAAGATATCCACCTTGATGTAAAAAAAGTGATATGATAATTTGCATTCATGTCTTGGATATCGTTTTGCATTTTCGTGAAAATTTCACCCCCATCTGTTAGCTAAAATTCATTAACAAATATAATCGTCAATTATTGTCAATGTTAACAAACCAAAGGATGAACGAAGGATCGGTGCTCCAAATTTTAACAAGGATACAAAATGTTTTCCTTATTCTCGAACTAATCGCCAGAATAACGATGGAGGTTCTTAAGATGAAGTGAAACACCCCTCAAATCAGTCGATTCGAATAAAACACTTATTTTTAAGGGTATTGGACCAAACTGTCTGAAACTTTCTCATCTAAGAATTGTCATGACACTTTCAAAATCTTGATTTTGGAGGAAAAATCTGTTAACTTAGCCCAGACCAGAACTAAATAGCGTCGAGCTCTCATATTTCGATCAATATACAATTATTGAAGGCCATAATATATGAAACGAAAGTGTCAGGATAATTAGACGACAATTTGGCACACTCTAATAATCGATAAACTCGTATTTGAACGGGATAAAGGCAAATAAGTGTCATACGTTGCTTTGCTAAAACGATGGTAATACGAGGTCTCGGAGTGAAAATTTAGTT